GGGGGCGCCAGTGTTTGGTTTCGAAGCTGCCACCCTGCATTAGCCATGCATGCCCCAGTGGCCTGGAGAGCTCACCCTGGGAGCAGCAGCGATCCCAGCTGAGCCTTGCTGGGTATGGGGCCAACGTCCTGTGGAGCTGCTGGCAAGGAGCTGTGGGGCCTCTTGGGTCACAGAGAAACCAGGGAGCAACCAAGCAAGGGCCTCCCAATCTCTCCTCAGACTTCTTATTATCCCCACCCCAGGAAAAACAACGTCAGGCCCATAGTCTGCATATTAAGTGAGAATTATTTGCCCGTCCTATAGTCATGCAAGACACTCAATTTAGGTCTCACCTCCTGGTGGCCTCCACCCCATGCCCAGCACTTGAGCTCATCCAATCTTCACAGCATCACAGTTCCACAGAGGAGCATCCCAGAGGTTAAAGGCCCGCCCAAGGTCACAAAGCCGCTAAGAACTATGACCTTAATCAGATCTGCTCATCATAACCAGGCCAGCTACAGTCAGCTGAGATCACTCAAGGCTGAGGCAAAGAAGTTTGTGTTTTGGGTTTGTTTTTTTTAACTCCATGGTTTACAAAGTTGGCTGACTCTAGGAATCACCTAGGGAGCTTTAAAAAATCCCCAAGGCCAAGCAGTGTCCCCAAGCCAGTTAAATCAGAATCCCTGTGGTGGGACTCAGGCCTTGGAATTTTTGAAACTTCCTGTGGTGATGCTAATATGCAGCCAAGCTGAGATCCACTGATTTAAGCAGTGCGGTTTCTGAGGATGAAAAGGCTCCCTCTAGGACTAGGAATGGGGTTTGTTAATAGTGATTGTTAATAGCAGCTGACAGGGTGGTCACACTGCCAGTCCAGGGGCACCATTCCCAGTTTAATCTGTGGGAGCTGAGGACTTGGTGTTGTGATGTGCACAACCGGCCTGCTGTATGTGGCAGCCCCAGTAGCCAGCACCAAGCGCTCCGCTCTGCACTAGGCATTGGCCAAGCACCTTGCAAGTATCACCTCGTTTATGATGCCACAACTTCATAGAGGAGGATTCTACAGTAATGCCCATTTTGCAGAGAAGGAAACACCAGCTCAAAAGCAGCTGTCCCATCTCAACTCTGCTGTTCACTAGGAAACCCCCGTAGAGAATAAGAGGGCATGGTGTGTCTCAGGGCTGTGGGATTTGGTCTAAAGGCTGTAGTTTCCAGGCTCCAGCTCCAGAGGGTAGGGAGGCAGGGACAAAGCTAACATTCAAATCCAGGTCTGAATGGCTCCAGCCTCCTTATCCGTCTGCCTCCTCCTGCATTTCTTTAACAGCCGTGAAGAATACGAACGAGAGCCACTTACCTTTCTCCTTCCTGATTGGCCTGCTCCTCCCTCTCCCTGCCAGCTCTTTTCCTGGGTGTTCACCTTTTTCTTTCCAGAGAGGACCTGTCTCATGCCCACTTCCCCTCTTGGCCCTCCATGGCCACTCCCCTGATGGAGCCCAGAGTCTTGGATCTCTTGGGATGCCCAGCAGCCTTGGGAACAACCCCAGACCTCTGCCTTAGGAGGCCCAGCTGACCGCCCAAGACAGCCTGGATTTTCTTGGCCTCACACCTGTGCTTTGTTGAGTGCTCTCTTTTATAACAAGACCTGTGTGAGGTTCTTCTCCCAGAGGCCTCGGTTGAATAAACTAACAGGAAGGCTGGCTCAGCTTTCTAAGTCCTGGGGGGCCCCCGAAGCCCTCCCCACCCCATCCCTCGTAGGTGCATACATGGATCTCACAGGGGTTGTTTGCTGGGGCTCAGCACCCTGAGTGGCAAAGGCAATGGTTTTTCTCCTGCAGCTCTGAGCTAAGGCACCAGCCACATCCTTCAGGGTTCACGCCTCACCCACCACACCAGCCTGGCCTCAGGGAAACACTGTCATCCACAGCTCACTGCTAATTTAATTAATTTTTTTTTTTAAAAAAAGGCCTGGAGCAAACCATTGAGCCAGAGCTGGCATAAGATGGGACTTGGGGTGCGGAGCTGGCTTCATAATTGACAGGGCCCAGTGCAAGATAAAAAAGGAGGGTCACTTGTTCAGATTGCATTTGGAATTTCAAGACAGTGACAACAGGTCAAACCAAACAGGGCCCCTCTTTCAAGGACGACCCTATGTGACAGAGCCCCACTGCCTGGCCCTGGGGCAGCCAACCCACCAGCTGGCTGGCAACTGAGGTATGGGGTGAAGGGCTCAGCCAGGCCAATCAGAGATTTTTTCCCTGGAATTTAACAGGAGAGAGAGACAGAGACCACCCACTGGAAGTGAAGGAAACCAAAGTCATAAAACATCCCAAGGCCTCTGACAGTTTCCCCACACAGCAGCCAGAACGACCTTTTTAAAAGTGAATCAGGCACGCCTTTCCCCGACTTGAACCCACCCGTCCACCCTCACTCCAGACGCCTCCCCGTCACTCAGCTCACACCACTCCAGCACACTGTGTCTTTTTGTTCCTCAAACAGACCCAGCTTGTTCAAGGTACATGAGTCACACATGCTGTTCCCTAGGCCCCAAACGGCCTCCCTCCTCATCTTAACTGTCAGATCGTCAAGTCACCTCCTCAGAGAGGCCCTCCCCGCACCTGGCTGACAGCGGGTCCCTCCTTAGTCCCTACGGGAGCCTGGAGCCGTTTGTGGTCTTCTGTTTTCATTGGCTTGTGTGTGCGCTGACGGTCGGCCTCCCTAGCAGAGTGTGGGTTCTGTGAGCGCCAGGACCTCGCTTGTTCAGTTCTCTTCTATGTGTCCAGTGTCTACCACAGTGCCAGGAAAATCACAGGAACATGAACACTTGTGGAATGCATGACTATTTTTATTAAATTATGCATTTTCTCAGTGGTCATTCACATTACGCAGGAGCTCTTGATGTTGTGTACTTAATTTGTATCTGGCCACAATCGTCGAGTGTGCTCAATTCCAAATGCTTTTCTGTTCATCCTTTTGGGAATTCTGGGTATATCGCTATATCCATGCAAATATTAAGGCTGCCTTCTCCTTTTCTAAAGATATCCAACTTATTCTATTTCCTGCCTTATCGCTTTGGCGACAGACAGTGAGTTCTTTTAAGAATGAGTGGCTGATGAAAAGCGAGCAGCTCTGGAAGATTTAGGGGGCACAGAGGGACTAAGAGCAGGTGAACAGCCAGGGAGGCAAGGTAGTTATTAAAGTGCGGCATGAGCTGAATAGGAGAGCCGAGGTCACGGGAAGGAAAGAGCACAGCTGAGAATTACTCAGTCAAAGGATGGGCGACACTTGACAACAGGAGTAGGCAGCAAAAGAGGGAAGATCCCAAAGCTCCAATCTGAATCCAGGCGTCCTAATGCACTGGCACCCAGAGAGCTTGATCCCACGGACAAGAAAATATCAAGTGCTCATTTTAAAGTAACTATAAATACTGATCACCTTTTAAGGACCAAAAAATTAGGAAGGATATAACCTGAAAGCAAACAGCCACATGAAAAAGATGAGAAAAAAGTTAATTAGAATTCTCATTTTAGAAACGGTCCTGAGAATGTGAATTGACATGTCTGTGCTCTGACACTTCATCTGGCTACATCCAAAATACCTTACATTAACCACCTCTTTCTCCAGGTTACACAGCACCTGCCAGGGGTCATCATAGAAAAGCCAAACACGGATCTGGTGGCCACCATTGCAAAGTACAATCTCCCGTTTGACGCCTACATTCCCAACCTGTCACCTTGCAATGTGCACCCCGCCAAACCCCTCCTTTGTATTTCCCGACCCCAACAAGCTGTTTGCCGCTTCCAGGTTTTCACACATCCCCGTTCATCCTCAAAACTGCATTCGGTTAGGGAATGGTTCTCACCCTCTTCCTAGTGTGGGGGCGGAAATGTCTGTCCACAGGTAACATGGTGGCCCTCGAGAGGGAGCCGATGCCTGGTGTTCCAAGTAGGGACACACGTTCCCAGTGGTCACATGAAAACCACATGCCGCAGGGCACTGGTTTCCCAAGACCAAAGAACACTTCGAAAGTTGTATTGAAGAAAATTGTGTGAAAGTTGTGTGAAGAAAGTTACCAACAAATGTGTATTGATCACCTACTGCATTCCAGACCAGACACTGCCAGCTGTCAGGAACTGGCATATGATAGGGGCTCAACCTCTGCAAAGCCAGACTCATGAAGAGGGCACAGCTAATGTCCACATTTTCACCAAAATCACTATAAGCAGCTCATGGTCAGGCAGTGTCTATAACTTTGAGGCCTTTTTTTTTTTTAAATCAGTCTCTTTCTCTGTCTCTCTCTCTCTGTCCTTGCTCTTGGGCATTTCAAGGATAAGGAGCCAGTTTGCAGAAGAGGGAGCCGTTGTGTCTGAATTTTAAGTAAACTGACAGATTTGAAACTGCTGTGGTGGAAGTGGGGCCATTGAGTGGCCAGACATTTGACAACTATGCCTTTACTATTAGGAACAGCATTCTCTGAATTTCATCCTCTCCTCTTTGATGTGAAGAATGAAAAGCTGAACAGTTCCGCAAGAGAATTTGGAACTGTGCTAGAGAGTCAGACAATGAAGGGTAATGCTTTCTTTTTATCACTGAATTCATCCAAATTGTTTTTACAAATACATATGAGTCTTTTTAAATATATTTTTCCTTTTCTGTTAAAGTTCATTGAAAAACAGAAACTCAAACATAATTCCATGTATAGTGGGTGAAAACTGTGGTTTGCAAAGTCAGGCCAAAAGTTTACGTGTGTCAGCCCGTACCTTGAGGCCCATTATCACTTGACTTCCATACTCCAGACACATCGAGCACTCCAACTCTGACGGCTCTGGGCATGCATTCAGTCATGGTTTCCATTTTTATAAGTGAAGAAACTAAGGCTCAGAAGGTCAGGTAGCTTGCCCAGGTGTGCGCAGTAGCAGGTGGCCAAGATCCATCTGACATGAAAACCTTGCCCTTCAACTGTGCCCCACGGGGCAGGGTGGGATGAGAGGCTCAGCTCTGAGCAACTCCTCTGTCCATCTCTACAGCCTCCATGTACTCGGAGATCCAGAGGGAGCGGGCAGACATCGGGGGACTGATGGCCCGGCCGGAATACAGAGAGTGGAACCCAGAGCTCATCAAGCCCAAGAAGCTGCTGAACCCCGTGAAGGCCTCTCGGAGCCACCAGGAGCTGCACCGGGAGCTGCTCATGAACCATAGAAGGTGGGGATGAGGCCCTGTGGCCCCGGCGAGGCAAGCACCTGGTCCTGTGGGACTTAGGGAGATGCCCCTGGAGGAAAGTAGGGCTGGCTCTCATCCTGGGGCTTCTGGAGACTGAGGAGAGCTGGGTGTGCCCTACATGATCCCCAGCAAAACCTGCAACGGCCCCATCCCCAGCGGGCCCCTGGGAACCAGAGGGACCCAAAAAGCCCTGTTCTCTCACCCAGCCACCCGTTTCATGCCCACACTCCAGATACATTTACTGAGTACATGCTATGTGTTGGGCGCTGAGTCTAGACCTGGGGGTGCAAGAATGAATGGGACCCAGTTCCTAACCTAACAGACGGGGACAGGTGCACAGCCAGGCATTAGGATGGGTACATTGGCCTGAGACCCCAGAGGAGGAACCCGAGAGGGGTCTAAAATGACTTCACAGGAGCGGTGCTGCTTCAGCTATGACCTGAAGGGGGATTGGAGTCAGCCAGGCCGCGGGGTAGGTGTTGTGTGGCAGAGGGAACTGCATATGCAAATGAGCAGGAAACAGGAACTGCTCACTGTGCCTCGGGCATTGATTGTGCGGTACCGGCCAGGGCAGAGGATGGACTGAGGAAGGGTCTACAGCGGGGGCGCAGGTCTGATCGCGCTTCAGAAGGGCCCTCCTGGTGAGGTGTACGGATGGGGGAGCTCACAGTACCGAATCGGGCAGGAATATTGCCGAGGCCCAGGATGGTGGCTGGCTCTTCCGGGGCAGTCTGTGGTGAGCATTGACAGAGACAGGCCAGAGGGGCATCTGGGAGGTGGCAGGGCTGGGATGGGGCAATTGATGGGACGTGAGTTGTAGGAGAGGATGGCTGAGCCCCTCACCTCCGGAGGACGGGGAAATAAATACTCCTGCTCACCGGTAACAGCCTGAACGCAGCAGTGCTTTCAGAGCTCCCTCTGCTGACCGTCTCTGGTATTAGAGCCGGTTGTGATTGCCATTCCTGTTTTCAGCTGCTACCGACATCCTCGCAGTTACTTTGTACACTGAGGGGCTTTTGTTGTTTTCAGTTAGTATTATAATATAAGCATTCTCTCTGAATAGCTTTTAGGCTCATCCCTTTAATATCAAAAAACAGGCCGGGCACGGTGGCTCAAGCCTGTAATCCCAGCACTTTGGGAGGCCAAGGCGGGTGGATCACGAGGTCAAGAGATCGAGACCATCCTGGTCAACATGGTGAAACCCCGTCTCTACTAAAAATACAAAAAATTAGCTGGGCATGGTGGCACGTGCCTGTAATCCCAGCTACTCAGGAGGCTGAGGCAGGAGAATTGCCTGAACCCAGGAGGCAGAGGCTGCGGTGAGCCGAGATCGCGCCATTGCACTCCAGCCTGGGTAACAAGAGCGAAACTCCGTCTCAAAAAAAAAAAAAAAAAAAAAAAAAAAAAAAATATATATATATATATATATATATCAAAAAACATCACCACAATCAAAAATAAAAGTTTAAAGATAAACCAGAGAAAGTATTTGCATATACAGAAAAAAAAAGAATATATTCAGATCTCTTAAAACCCACAAAGAAAGACGAATCAAAAGTAATACAGTACAGTGAGACGTGGTGGCTCACACCTGTCATCCCCACACTTTGGGAGGCCGAGGCAGGAGGATCACTTGATCCCAGGAGTTCAAGGCTGCAGTGAGCTATGATTGTGCCACTGCACTCCAGTCTGGGCAACAGAGCGAGTGCTTGTCTGTAAAAATAATAATAATAATACAGTTTATTCACAAAAGAAGAAATGCAAATGGCTGGTAAACATATCAAATGTTGTCCCATGTGACTAATAAAGAAACAAATGAAAACCAGGTATTATTCCATGCCTACCAGATTCTCGAATATAAAAAGACTGGCTGGTGACGGTGGGGAGAAACAGATGCTCCCGTCCACCGTTCTCAGGAGGATACACTGGATAACGTTTCTCAGGCACAGGGAGATCTGTGTACCTAAAATCTTTTAAAGGAGCCTGGCCCAGCAATTCTACCTTTAGAAACATATCCTGAGAAAATAACCAGAAATAACATAAAACCTGGTCCCTGCAGTCAGACAGGCCAGGGTTCAAATCCTCATTTGGCCTATCTGTAGCTGTGACTTGGACTGGTATCTTCAGCTCTAGAGGTCTCAGTTTTCATCTCTGTAAAATGGGGCAGTAATAAGTCCACCTCCAAGGCTACAGGGAGGATTGCACAAGGCAATAGTGGAGGGTGGTGTCACGGCAGGATGAAGACCTGAGGCTGGGGGAGGCAGGAAGGTGATGGTCTCCTGACGGCTCCTCCCTCCCCACTCCAGGGGCCTCGGCACGGACAGCAAGCCAGAGCTGCAGCGCGTCCTGGAGCACCGACGGCGGAACCAGCTCCTCAAGAAGAAGAAGGAGGAGCTGGAGGCCAAGCGACTGCAGTGTCCCCTTGAGCAGGAGCTGCTGAGACGGCAGCAGAGGCTGAACCAGGTGGGTGACAGGCACCCAGCAGGGGACCACGCATCCTCCAGGGTGATCCCCTGGCCCAGGGAGGAGCTCTGCTGTGGCAGAGGGAAGAGGGTCAGCAGACAGAGCACTGGACTATGAGTCCACCCCCAGCCTGAGTCCTCCCTCTGCCATTTGCTTTGCTGGGCCCTTAGGGCAAGTGGCTTCCCCTCTCTGAACCTCAGCTTCCTCACTGGCCCAGTGTCCTGCATGCTGATTCTGATTTCATTCCCATAATTGTCTGGTGAGCCAGGTGTCATTCCCACTTTAGAGATGGGGAACCTGAGGCCCAGAGGAGGTGAGTGATAGAACCCGACTTCACAAGGAGAACGCAGTCTGATGCTCTGTGCCCCAGCTACCAGGCTGGCAGCAAAGCCCATCCCCAGGCTGGTTCTGTTCCCCCACTGTGTGGGCCCTCGGTCCCAACTCCGTGGGTTTTCAGAGTAGGAATCCCCGTAGCCCCACCCACCTCACTCCTCTGCTTCTCCCTCCTTCAGCTGGAAAAACCACCGGAGAAGGAAGAAGATCACGCCCCGGAGTTTATTAAAGTCAGGGAGAACCTGCGGAGAATCGCCACGCTGACCAGCGAAGAGAGGGCGCTGTAGGGCCGGCTGCTGGGGCTCGGGCCACCACGCACCCCAGCCTGGACACCCTCCTCCAGCCCTTCTGCACCTGGCAGCCCTGGGCCCCAGGCCTTGGGACGTCTGTGATGTTTCCACCTGCTTCTGTAGAAATGTGTCGCCCCAGAGGACCTGGCTCTCCCTGGGAGGCCGGGGGCCCTAAGCTCCCAGGCTTTTCCTTCCAAGCACCCAAGCCCTCCTGCTCCAAGAGGGAAACCTGCGCCCCTCCCTGCAGGGGACTTGGAGCCCTACACGGGAGGCTTTTCTGGCAGAATTGAGGAGGAAGAGGCAGCCCTCTGGCTTGGCAAGCCTTCTCTTCTGCCCAGGCCTTCCCACCGGGAATCTCCAAGGCTCCCTGGGGCCCCGCTTCTCCGTGCACCCCAGCTCCTAGGTCTCAGAGAACTCCCCCACCTGTAGTTTTACCTGCAGCCAGCAGAGCTTAGCTTCAAGGCACCCCAAAGCCACTGAGGGGGGGAAGGGCAGAGCAGACGGCAGGTGGCCTAGTTGGAGGCATCCCGGCCACGTGGGAGGGGGCTAACACAGACGGCTGTTTAGGGTCTTCCCTCACCCATGCATTCATCATCCCCTCCGCACAGCGCCCAGTCCAGGCCTTCTAACCACACCCAGCCAGGGTGGCCGCCTTCCTGCACCTAGAGGTCTGCTTCACAAATTTGATAGTGCACAAAAATCACTGGGGGTCTTCTTAAAATACAGCTTCTAATTCAGTAGATCTGGGGTGAGGGCTGAGATCCTGCATTTCTAACAAGCTCCCAGGTGAGGTGGAGGCTGCTGGTGTGAGGACCCTGCTGTGAGCCGCAAGGCCAGAGTGCCCAGGGCTGGTGTATATTAGAAATATTGGCCAGGCGTGGTGGCTCATGCCTGTAATCCCAGCACTTTGGGAGGCCGAGGTGGGCAGATCACCTGAGGTCAGGAGTTTGAGACCAGCCTGGCCAAGATGGTGAAACCTCATCTCTAATAAAAATGCAGAAATTAGCCGGGTGTGGTGGTGGACGCCTGTAATCCCAGCTACTCTGGAGGCTGACGCAGGAGAATCGCTTGAACCTGGGAGATGGAGGTTGCGGTGAGCCGAGACTGTGCCACTGCACTCCAGCCTGAACGACAGAGGGAGACTCCATCTCAAAAACATAAATAATACAAATAAATAAACATCACCCCTGAAGCCATCACTGCCTCACACCTCCCATGGCTGATGCCCCAGGAATTCCCACCTCTCAAACATACCTGGCCCCACCCCACCTCTGTAACCCAGGGATTCTTCATTATCCACCCCACCCAGACCCCCACCCCAGGGATTCCCCATGAAGACTTTGGCCTCGCAAATTGTGTTGGTTATGCAAGTGTTGTTTTAATCAGAGATGTACGTGATTGCCAATCTGCATTTCTTACCAGTGTGACCACACTGTTATGATGCAATTCTAGCCAAAAAAAAAAAAAGAAAAAGATTTTTTTTAAACATTTTCCTACAGTCTTATGGAAAGCAAATATATAATAATTTCCAATAGGCTTCTGGAATAGAAACAGTGGTTTAAAGACCGCACCGCTACCTTTATGGGCTGGCCCCTTTGAGTCTCCCAACCCCTACCTGGGCCAACTCCAATGAAATCATCCATTTTTCTTCTTCAGAAGGCCTTTCCTGTGGATACCCACATATTTTAACCTTTTGCTGTTATCCCATTTTTGAAGATTTAGGGAATGAGCCAGGCCTGTTTCTTTTCCCCTGAAATCCCTGCCTCTGGCTTCGTAAACCCCTCATCTGAGGTGACAGAGCAGTGCTGGGATAGCATCTCCTTTCACTCCCCAAAAACTGCCACAAAGAGCAGCCACTGGCATGTGCTTCGATTCCTGGAGGCAAACGTGGGACTGTCAGGAGGAAAGGGATTGTCCTGGTCTTACTCATAGCTGGGCGATTTGAGGGGGACCGAAGTCAGGCTTTTCCCGTGTGTGCTGCCAGCACAGGGCTGTACACGCAGAGATTCCGCCTGTGTGTGTGTGTACAAGTCAAGCTCCGAGAGGCTCCTGAATGTGACTGGCGTGCTGAGAATGTGGTTACGCTGTTTAACGCCTGCCAGGTGAGGGTTACGCTGAAGATGCACAATCCCTAAAATAAAGATCACCACTTCCCCAAAGAAGCAGCCGCCAGGTCCATGTGTTGTTCAGACATGTGAAAAGAAGCAAGACAGAGGTTCCCAGATGGACGAGGGCTCTCCAAGGGAATGCCTAGGGCTTCACCCAGTGGTCTCCAGAAGTGCTCCTTGGAGGCAACAAATCATTCCATGAAGCCCCAGAAGCAGATGGGACCTCAAGCGTCACGCCCTCCAGGGCAGCCGTGCAGACACCCTCGATTCCCAACTCCATCTCTCCAGCCACTCCAACTGTGGAGGCTGTAAATCCAGATTCTCACTGTTCCAGTCTCCTTTGCAGCTTAGGATGACTGTGATCAGCTATGGTCAATGAAATGGAAGAGGAAGGGTCTTCTGGGAAAGCTTATGCTTTTCCGATAAAAGGCATAGGCATGGCTAATACCTCCCTGGCCCTCTTCTTCCTGCCTTGATTGAGGGTGTGATGCCTGGAGCCACAGCAGCCACCTTGCTACCATGAGAAAAAGGCCAAGAGAATCACAGTCATTGACCCTATCACTATTTCACCAAGTCAATGCCAGCAGCCATCCTTCTCCTCTTGTAAATAAAATAAATCCCTCTTTGTTTAAACCATTGTCGGTCAGTCTCTGTTACTTGCAACCAAAATTATCCCTAACTGACACAGAAGGCCAGTCCCTGCCTGTCCAAAATTACCTGCAGGCTGGGCTAAAACTCCAGATTCAACTTTCCTATCAGAAGCCTATTGGATCAGGATCCCCAATTGCAGTGCATGGGATCTGTTTTTCTCCACCTTCCCCATAGAGCCTGCCTGGCCTGAGTCTGAAAACTGGTACTCGAACATCACTAATGCACACATCATTCAACAAATATTTGTCAAGTGCCTGCTCTGTGCCAGGAAGAATGCCACGGGCTAGGGCACGGTGGAGAACAAAGATGCAGGGCCTACCCCTCATCCTGATGACTGCAGTGGCCTCTCCCCACTGGTCTCCCCTACTGGCCTTGTCCCTACAGCCTGATCTCAACAGAGGAGCCAAAATCATCCTGTTCCAGACTAAGGCAGAACTTGACTCTGCACGGAGCCCTCCCTGGCTCCCAGTGGAGCCTCCTGCCTTCCAGGTGGGCCTGCGAGTCCAGTTCCCTCTTAGCCTCTGACCTCCTTCCTGTGCTCTCTCCCTCGCTCACACAGCCCCAGTCAGCCTGGCCTCCTGCCCTCTCCAGGCATGCCCCATCTCCATGCCTTCCCACCTGCTCTTCCCCAGCCGGGAGTATCCTTCCCTCCAAGAACCGCCCGGCCCACCCTCTCACTTTCTTCAGGACTTTCATCATGCTCCTTCTAAATGAGGTCCCTTTTAGCCACCCCATCTAAAATCTCAACTTCTCCAGCCTTCCTCTGTCTGTCTTGCCTTCTTTTTCCTCCTTAGCATTTATCACCATTGAACATAACCTATATTTTACTAATTTGTCTCATGTGTCCCTCCTAATGATAATGTCAGCTCCATGAGGGCGGAGATTCTTGTTTCTCTCATTTACTGCTGAATCCCTAGTGCACAGGGCCCAGAGAAGGTGCTCACAAAGTATTTGTTGAATGAATGAATGAGAAGCCCCTTCTCCCTCTGCAATATACCTAGCCTCTTCCCAGGCCCAGCCCATAACAACCAGAAAAGGCCCCACCTGCCTCCTTCCTCCACAGTCTCCACCCTGACCTACAGGTGTTTATTTGGTTGGAAACCCTCCTCTACCCTCTTGGGCGTTCATCAATACACCTGGGCCTGGCCTCACTGGCATGGTGCCAGGAGGACCCACATCAGAGCTGCGTGGCTCCTGTACACCACAGGGGTGCCTAGAGAGTCAGCTCTTCCCCGAAGGCTGATGATGAGGCCGTCACCCAAGCCTGGAGACCGTGGAGAAGCAAAAGGCTGCAGCAGTAGCTTTGACTTCAGACCCTCCCCTGAACAGGGAGCCAGGACAACAGCCCCTGTTCTTGCCAGTGCCACGCTCTCTCACACGCACCAGCCCACGGGTCCTGGTTTGGGTTTGCAGAATGCCCCTGTCAATGGCAAACCAGCACTAAACACAAAACCCAGGATAGAGGGCTGACCTTAGGCCGTGAAGGGACACTCCATCCCTGACCCTGTAGCCTGTATGTCACCGGAGTCCTCAGAGCGCAGAAGCTTTGGCAGGCAGCCTCACCACACCTGAGGTTACACTGACTCCAAATCCTATGAGGGAGGGACTCTGATTCTGCTCACCTTTTTCCAATGCCCTGAAAATAGTTAGGTGTCCCAGAAAGCTGTGAATGGATGTGAGTAATGATCACGGCATTTATAGAGGGCCAGCAATGTCAGCACCCAGGACAACCAGGTGTCTTCCTCCCACTCTGCAGATGAAGACACCTGGGCTCAGGTAAGTGAAGGGCCTTGCTGGAAGACATAAGGCAATGCCCCAGGAGAGATGCGATTTGCACCCAGAGCGACCTGCCTGCAGAGTCTTCATTCTTTCCACTGCAGCCAGGCCTTGCTCCTGGAAAGTGCTCCTGGGAGGACCCTACACCAGCCTGACCACGCACCATGGGATCCAGAGACCTACTTTATCTTCCATTTGTCTGTCTGAGCTTGAAATATTTAGCTTCTGCCTATAAAAACAGACTCAGATCAATGCAGACCTACCCGCATTCTGGGGTGAGGAATGTCCACTTGCTTCTGTGACCACATCTCCAGATGCCCCAGATGCCTCCACCCACACATTCAGCCAGTCTCTGGGGCCAATGAATAGGTCAGGATTGGCCAGACGTGGTGGCTCACACCTGTAATCCCAGTATTTTGGGAGGCCGAGGTGGGCGGATCATTGAGGCCAGGAGTTCAAGACCAGCCCGGCCAACATGGAGAAACCCTGTCTTTACTAAAAACACAAAAATTAGTTGGGCGTGGTGGCACATGCCTGTAGTCCCAGCTACTCGGTGGCTGAGACAGGACAATTACTTGACCCTGGGAGGTAGAGTTTGCAGAAAGCACATTACTTCATTCCAGCCTGTGACAGAGTGAGATTCCTCAAAAAAGGAAGAGGTCAGGCTCTACCACTGTGGTGGGATTCCTTGCATTCC